CTTTTAAACGACCATTGTTTCTTTGTGCTGTTCCTTCAGACTTCCTTCCACCTATTGCTTCATGCAGAACCATTTTTTGCCCCTCCAATCACTTTACACTTGAAAACAGCCGTTTTAAGGACCTGTATTCTGTACGCTGTTTCCCTGCTCTAATTGGGTCACTCAGAGCCCCAGTCTCAATGTTCAGTTACTCAAATAGCCAGAAGAAGAAGACAGAAGTTGCTCCGAAATGTTGGTAACTACTGGAGTACACTGTGTCACATACAAGAATAGACTATCTTTATATTATGTGTATGTTCTTGAGTACTGATGGTGTAATGATTTCAGGGCGTGGCTTACCCTACATGGTTCTTGATTTGTGCAGTGCTTTGTGGACATGAGCATAATGATGTTGAGCAGCTGTAAGTTGAAACACTTCTGACAGCAGAAATCTGAAAAATTATATCTCCTTTCCTATGCTATGCCATCATGTAAATTGATTGGCTGCTTCCCTTGTTGTTGTAAGTTAGGTCAGAAATGTTCAAAATGTAACATTGATCAGCTTATAGCAGACTACACAGAGTCACATACCAGAAGACAAGTACTCTTCATAATGTTTGTCTGACAAATTTATCATTCTTCACAAAAATACTGTTTGGCTTGGTGTAGTGGTGACACTGTAGATTCATATTCAAGAAGTGCTGTGTTTGAATCTTGGCTGGGGCAGTGGTTACACTGATTTCTGTTTTTCATTATTTTCCTGAGTCTCTTAGGGAAGTATTAGTATACTAGCACAATTTCGCCATGACAGCTTGCTTTCAAGTATTTTCCAGTTTCTCAGTTGTCCTACCATTTGATTCTGACTGCATCACAACCCGCAAAAATAAAATTAAATAATAATAGTAGAGTAACAGATATGTTTGATTAGAAATGTGTGCATCAAAAAAAGTACACTTTAGGCCTGCGGAATGGAGAGGTACCTAGAAATTTATTTATGGGATGAATATCTGTTGATAGTATTTCAACTTAAAGCAGCCATCTCATGTGAATATTCAAGCACTGTAGAAACGTGAGGTTGTGGATCAGAAAATAGTACGCTTGCCAAAAATTGTCACATATAGTGGAATCCCCATTTAATGTTCCTTGAGCGAACAGTTTCCTTTGTTTAATATTAATTTTCAGTGATCATAATACAGTAATCTCATTCCTCCATTTAAGATCTTTCTTACTTTAGTGTTCAAATGCTCTGCTCTATAAAGAAACTTTAAATGGGGTTTCAGTGTATTATTTAAAGTCAAATTGTCTTTGTATAAGGTAGCTAATGTTATATTATCATGTGTCAGAAGAGTTGTGTAAATACTGAGATATTTGTTCTGAAAGAGAGAAATTTGTGATTGTTGTTATGTATGATATGTGGACTTGGTGGTACTTAAAAGGTAGTTCTTGTACAGAGATCATTAGGATGGTTGTGTCAAACAGAAGCAGCTGCTTTATATAAATATATGCATTTTGTCTGCATAGTAACATTTGCTTTATATAAGTTACTCCTTGGTGCTGAATCCTTACTCATAAGTTAATAGTTCCTGAGCTATGAAAGAGATTCCTGGTGTTTTGTGGAAACTGGAAGTTTGTTATCATGTTTGCAAGAGCTCATTGGTTCCTATCCTGAGCCAGATGAATCCAGTTTTCACCCTCCAATCCCATTTCTTTACCATATATTTTAACATTTTCCCATCTGCAGCTACGTGTTTCTAGTAGTCTTTTTTCTTGAGGTCCTTATACTTAAACTTCTTATGCTCCTCTGTCCCATGCATGTCATGCTAATAATATTCTCCTTGATTTGGTCATTCTAATAATATTTGGCAAGGAGAACAAATTATGAGCTTATTTTTTTGGTTTTCTCCGGTCTCCCATCACTTTACACCTCTTGCATCCAAATATTATCCTCAGCGTCTTGTTTTCAAACATACTCAGATTATATTCTTCACTTAATGTGCAAGATGAAGTGATAGTGCTTCTGCATTGTTTAACTCTTTCTTTGTTGTGGATGTCCATATGTGTTCCTCGGTATGTTGGGTTGCATTAAATTAGGTTGTTAGGTCCTATTAGGTTAGGTTATGTTACAGATGTGCATATTCTTTGATATTTCTTTAATGTAATTAGTCAAAAGCTGTCCATGGCGATGGTTAAACCTGCACCATTATCCTTAGCAGTAAGCAGTGCTTCCCCTTTCACCTAGTAATGTAAGAGCACAGAATCTTCACCTTTTTGAGTCCTTGGCATGGATTTTGGACTTATTCTGGCCTACGCTGTTTTTTACTAGTTCTGAATATCATCTTTCTGGATTTTTCATGGTTTATATTTACATCTTCTACGACATTATCTCACCTGCCCAGAATATCAATGCTCTGAATTATTTGAGATTTTCATTATTCACCAATCATAGTCTTATCTGACACTATACAATCTGTGATACTGAAATTGTCATGTCCTAAATAAACAAAGGAAATGAATTGCTTCTCTACTTCAGTGCCTTTACAAATCATGATCTACCAGGATACATTAATACATTAATCCCACTTCAGCTGTTAAGTTCTTTTGGTTGAAAATTCATTACCGGTTCTTATTTGAAAGTACAGAAGAAAAACATAGAATGATATATGAACTAATTCACTCCATAGAGCTGAGCCCTTCTTGAGAAGTTGCTTGTTGTGCAACTACTCAAAACCTCCCAATATTTTGCAGAACCTAAAGGTTCAATACTGTGTTCACAAGAGCCCACCACTGGTCCCTGTCTTTAACAAAATCAGTCAGCCCATACCACCCCATCCTATCTCTCTAAGATTTATCTCGATATTATCCTCCCACCTATGCCTAGGTCATCCTAGTGGTCTCTTTCCGTCTGGCTTTCCCACCAAAATCCTATATGCATTCCTTTTCTCCTGCATGGATGCTATATGCTCTGCCCATCTCATCATCTTTAACTAAGAATGATATATACAAAATAATATTTGTGTTTGAGTATTGGAAAGTCCTTGAATAGAATTAAAGAAACCGTTGTAATGGGGTATTCTTTCATCAGTTTATTGTTACAAATGTTGATTATTACATTGTCTACACTGAGGGACACCATCAGATGAAAGTAGTAAACAATTCCGATATCAAAGACAGGTGAAATGAATTTATTCAGTCTGTAAAACCCACTGAATGTACAGTGGAAGAACATGTCAAATCTTTTGCTAGATTCTGTAGGGTCCAAGTCCAGATCTAGAAGTCTTCAAGATCTGTTGGGGTCAGATCCACATTCATAGAGCAGGGTATTTTCCCTTGATCTTCACCACTCTTTTATAGCAGAGTATATGACAAATGAACCATTCGGTTCTTTTTTCCATTTCACACAATTTAATTGATTAATTGACTGCTTATACATATACTGTCCATTCAAATGTGTTGTCTAATGATGACAAGCTTCTGATAGAGTTCATTTCATTCGTACTGAAAGCAGATTAAAAATAAATTTTACGTTACATCAGTAACTAATAGAATGTAAATACGTTATGTGCAAACTGTTTATTCAGGTATGAGCCCACAGCTAAGTGATGTAGTTCATAAAATATGACAAAAATCAACAAAACTTTTTCGTATTAAGTTAAAATTTAGAAACATCAATAAACATTTTTTTTACTGTTAGCCAGTTTTGCCTTTTGTAATATTCTCTTGATTCGTACACAGTAATTTTTTCCCGTTATTTGACGATTGAAATGAGGATGAAATGGATCATTGAATAGTTTATATTCATATATTTATATTGAATATGCATTCGATAGTGCCAAACACCAATCGACTTCCAAGCTGTAGGCAGTTTCTGATGTTCACTACAGATGGCAGCTTCTTACACTTGAAGCTTGTGCGTTTGAACGTGAGATTCGGTTCCCTTACGACGCTTACGACTGTGAAATTAGAGAGTATGGCTTCCTGGGATGTGGCGCGGTGATGTTGATTGTATAGGTACCAACGCTTTCGAGGAACCTTCCACCACGATCTCTCCATCTGAAAGACGGAGATAATAAGTTCCTCCGAAGTATTGGCACGTTCTTATGAGAGAACATACCATAACCACGTGAACCGTGGCAGGGGAAGTCCGCATGCGAACTATACCGACCGAGCGACTTCCGCCTGTTGGCGAAGTTTAGTGCCAACTTTTGCGGATAGAGGATGTCGCGTGGTCAGCGCAGCGGATCCCCACGGCCTTTAATTCGGGGAAGTCTCACCCACACGGATTTTTGTATAAATTGACAATTGGGACAAACGAAATGTACCAAGCATTTAAAATTATTGTCACGTGTTAGTGACTAGACACTGGGTTTGAATTGACAATTGAATTTATTGACCGCTTAGGACTCGCACCTGCAAATGTACAACTCAGTTATTAATCTACACACTCTGAAGATCACTGTAGGAGAGGTCTATGCTCACAGCAAACAACTAGCTACGAGCGCCAACTCACGTTTGACCAACTCAAGTCAAAGTCGAAGTTATGTTACGACCGACGGCCAGTCTATCTTGGTGTCAAGCCCCATCTGGAGCTCAAGACCAGATTTTTGTTACTCTCAGTTGCGGGTGTTTAGATGTGGGGCGTCCTCATTGACGAGAGGATGAGTGTCATTTACAATTGCTGCTGGCTCTCTCAGCACAGTTATTGTTGCGTCTGAGACCCGTGGGACTCATGACCATATTTCACGCCTTCGGATTCGAGGCTCCACAAGCATGGAGTGTCAGATCCCTATATAGGCCACAAGCATAGCGCCATTTCTTATAGTTAAGGGTGGAGCGTGCCGTGACATCTCTCATCGCCTACGTGAATGACATCTCCACTTCCTGTTGGCCCCGACTCTTCGTCTGCCTTCATTCCTCGTCGATTGGGTCTCGCGCTGCTGTTATCCAACCGCTCCCTCGTTAGGGCTGCTCGTCTCGAGCGGTAGTGTCCTCTTGAGGGCGTGCCTCCCTTAGTGTGTTTCTGCTACCGGCGGTCCTTACAGGCACTTCTTTTAAGGACTAGACCAGTGGTCTCGCCCTGCATACTTCAGCTCGATGGTCGGCCCTGGAACGCTTGCCAGCGAGGTTATCCACCGCCTCCAGGGGTCATTCCAGCCGCACCGCCGTCACTCCATCACACCGAGTCGTTACCGCCTTTCTGTTGCCCTTCGTATAGGGGGATGGACGCGGCCACAATTTGTGGCGCCGCAAATCCACGGATGCATCATGGGCGTGCAAGGTATCGAGTCCCAGGATGAAATCATCAGTGTTACTGGAGACGTACACACAAACTGTTAGTGGGTTCAACCCCAGGGTAAACTTCACTAAAGCTTCCTTCAGGATGGGAAGGTATCCCCTGGTGCCATCTGCAGGACGTGCGGCTAGTCGTCCCTTTTCTGGGCAATTCTGAGGTGATATCCGGTCTGGAGATCGTCGCCGGTGCTCTTGTATCAGTAGTCACAAGTCATGCCTGTTCTCCTATACATCCCTCGGCATTGAGACTGTCATGGCCGTTTTGTCTATTTCTGCTTCTGGCAAGTCACAGGCTGTGGTCTGGCCGGGGTGGGACAAGATGACACGTCGTTTGATGCACCGGCTCTGTAACCTGCTGTAGAAGGTGCAGATCCCAAATGTAACTGCTGAGAAAATGTCTCCTCTTTGATTTCTTTTGGGCGTAGTCAGTCTTGGGATACTGCCACTTCCTTCGGATCAGTTTCTGTCACCGGAGTTTCATCACACCCTGAAGGCTTGATACTGGACTGACTGCTGAATTGCTGCTGCCCCTCGCCAGCACAGTAATTCTTGTTTCCCAGTCCCACGGGACTCATGACAGTATTATACTGTCTGACGGCGCTGGGACCCTTCAGACGACACACTCTCGCCATAGCTTCAAACCAGAGTCAGAGTCATTTTACGACCGACGGTCAGTCGGCCAGGCAGTCTTGGTGTGAAGCCCCATCTGGGGCCCAAGACCAGATTTTTGTTACATGTAATTTTTCGCATGTGATTTTGTTTCTAAATATGTACAACTAAATAACATGTTGATCGATATATTTATTTAACATTTATTTACTTTTACCCTTGCTTGTTTGCGGTAATTTTATTAGAGGTTCCATAAAAATTTATCTAACCCAAAAGGGTTCCTTGCCCAAATTACATTGGAAAACAGTACTTTTAGGCAATCNTACATGGCTTAAACTCATGTTTGAATGCATATATCGTGGCTACACCAATTGGAATGGATTCCATCACCGCTCATGGTCATAGTCCTGAAGACAGCCTCCAAGTAAGATATAGTTTGACAGATTTTTAAAAAACATTTCGTATTTTAAATTAAAGTCCTAGTTAGGCTGCTGTACTGATCAAGAACTTAGCCAAGTGATCTTTATTACTATCTAAAATCTAGTCCGGAATCTCCCTAGTACAAGTGAGACGCTTTATCACCTTGTTAATCTGTTCGCTATTTACTTATGAACATTTACTACAAGAATTTTAAAAGTAAACCTTGCTGAAACTGTTTCCTCCAGATAACGGCTCTGTGTAGTCCATGCTGCTCTTCTGTCACGTTTATTATCTTAGTATAAATGTATCTGTATTTCCAGGGTTGTTCAAGTTATTGAGGTTATACATTTTTTTTCGGGGAAGTTTGTTCTGAAATTCTAACGGGCTTTACGCTAGTCTTATAAAAATACCCCGGGGCCCTCCCACTTTTAATCCGACCTTGGCTCTTAGTGTCAAACCCTTCTCACACTTCCCGCCGTACAGATTCTAGTTTCCTCACTGTTGTAAGTGATAAGTGACTAATCCTTGTGTGTCTGTAGGTTCAATTCTTTCTAGAATCAAATATAAAAAAGTGGTTTAAAAACTGCCAAGGTTATTTTTATCCAGTAATTAACTAACTATCACAGCTCTGTCATAGTCACCTTCCGTAATAGCCTTGGAGAAAAGAACTGAGCTAAATAAACAAACAAACAAACCACTTAAATACTTTTGACAGCCTAATTTTAAACATTATTCCCACCAACGTGATAGCGTTATTCATATGCTGAGTGGGTACCCCGTCTGTTCGTGTCAGAGATTTACATGAGCTGACACACAGGTAAATGAATGGGTTGGTCAGACTGATATGATCAGTGTTGCATTATTAATAAGCCGTCTGGTGGTTCACCGACCAGGTACGTCACCATCTTCCTGATCTCTTTCTGTCTTAATGTATGAAACCGGTCCTGGAAATGACCTAACGACCTTCATCTATCATATCTACGCGCATGCGTGCAATTGAAACAATACAATATGGACGCTGATCCCAGGAAGGGATTCGTGTATTTCGTGTAGGACCTCAGAGGGTACCGTAACTCAAGTCGCTACAGGTTATTGCAGCAACGGGCAACGTCCTCAAGTGCCATGGGAATGCAAGTAGGTACCATGTTTGGTATTAAGGTGACCTGCCTATTTTGCCTGAATATAATATAGTACGTACATGTATTTTTCCTCCTAACATCTACAGAAAATTGTCTGCATTTTTATTTTTGCACATATTCAGTTGTATTGAAGATTTTACTAAAAGCTGCCACCGGAAATGTTGAAGTTTACTTCCATCTTCTTTATTGTAGCACCAACAATGAAGAATACAATTGCGGTTAGGACAATGAATAGAAATTTATCTATTAACGTAGCAGTAAGACAGAAGCCTACAATTTATTAGTACAGAAAGCGAAGACTTAATATTCGAAGAGTTCTGTCTTGTGGGATATAACGCCGTGTATCCAATTGGAAGTCAAGTCTCTTTTGGCTTAACGCACTCCTCAGCGTTATGTCCCAGGAGGTAGAACTCTTCATAGCCACCGCTGAGAGAACCTCAGATCTAAACAATATTCGCTCGGCAATGAGAAATAAAGTATAATACGTTTCCAGTGAAAGGAAATAAGATGGGCACATTACAAATTTAACAACCGTTTCTTATGTCCATTGTTATTCAGTGCTTTTATAAGCTGCACTGCAAGTTATAGAAGGGATACCTTTGTATTTGTGAACACTGTCTCTAATAGAAGAGTCGTACGCTCTTCCCGTGAATCCGGTCCTACCCATAATGAACAAATTCGCTTCACTGGGAGGCCATCTAGAAAATTCTCTGTAAAATTATTGGGTAATGGGACATATTTCGTTAGTTTAACTTAGTCGTTAATAATAATATTAATATGAAAAATGTCATTATTAGAAACGAGGAATAACTCTGAAGAAAGCAGTCTTCTGGGATGTGGCACCGTGTAGATGTGGTGTTAACCGACGTTTCGGAGGAACGTATCGTCTCCATCTTCAGGGTAGAAGGAAAAATAAATCCGCAAGCGAAGAGACCGTGAGTCTGCTTGTACCGGTTCTCACGGTCTCTTCGCTTGCAGATTTCTTATTTTTCCTTCTACCCTGAAGATGGAGGCGATACGTTCCTCCGAAACATCGGTTAACACCACATCTACGCGTTGCCACATCCCAGAAGACTGCTTTCTTCATAGTCACCGCCGTGAAAACCTCAAATCTTACGAGGAATAACTCTCTTTATATATACATTTATATTAGCAAAAATGTACAGATGATATGAATCTATGTAATTAAAAGTGAAGATTGGCAGAGCTATACCTCCAATCCCCTATACGTCTTCATGGCATAGTGCTTAATTATGCACCGGGACAGTTTGGGAAAGTACTGAATAGAAACTGCGATGTGTATGGGATATTGGTGTGTTCGCATGTACCCGAATCGATCTGATCCGAGGAGTGTCTCGAACGCCTGCCTGAACGGCCGAACGATTTGCTGCAGGCTCACATATTCTCCCTGTAAAATTATATCTTCCTAGCATGGAGGCCATAATTCCACAATGTCAAGAAACATTAGTTCGAAAGGAGAGTGTAACAAGTATCCAACTGCGTCTTGTTTTGTTCCTCAGTTACGGGATATATGCCGTTGTAGCAGGGATACCTTGTAATTGGATTTTCAACGTAAATAGAATGGTTCGTAGTGAAATGTTAATATGGTTCTGTTACACTGTTGTATCGTACGCCCATTTGACTGATAGACCCATTATTGTACGTTTACACCATATGATACGTCTTTCTGGAATACTCCAAGATAACTCTATTCCTGTAATCATAGTATGAGGAAACTTAATCCGTAAGACATGTTGTTACAATTCAGTATGAGAGAACATTAATAAACGTCGGGCAGTCCAGATTTTTCTCCAGACCGGTTCTGGGGCCCACCCAGCCTCCTATACAATGGGTCCCCGGGGGTGAAGCGGCGAGGGCGTGAAACTGACCAATCACCTCCAGCTAGTGTCGAGGTCAAGAAAATATGGATCTATACATCCACTCGCCCATACACCTTCATGGCGTAGTGCGTAATTATGCAGTTAATCCAACGACAACTTTAGTTAGTTAGTTAGTTAGTTAGTTATTGGAGAGGGTGGGTTTCCTCATGCACTTAGACCAGTATTGGTCCATCGTGCTTCCCTC